AAAGTTACAACTGGCGAGACATGCAAAGGGCTCTCAAAGCCTTCAAGAGAAATATAAGCAGTGATAACTCTTATAAATGAAGGCTGTAGTGATTACCAGAGCTGTACCATGATCAGCAGATCAGAGACAATTATAACAGGCATATCTAGAATTAGTCTTTTGTTGTTTACCTGCACTTTGAAGCACCCAGAGATTCTTATGAGTAGCAAATAAATGATGGTGCTGCATGCATTTTTTTCCCTTAAATCAAATTTCTTTGGATAGTGGCCGACATTGAGAATTACCTCACTTGAGGTGATTAAAATCCTTTTAAATAAGTGAATTGAAAGATATTATAAGCATGTTGCCCAGACCTAGATACCGGGATGAATTTCAGAAATATTTCAATAGTAAATATCAAAGAAAAGACAAGTGTTAGGGGGAAAGTAAATTCAGCTCATTAGAATTAGTTCATAATAGGGCACTGTCAGTTTCTTAGACCAGCTGAAAGGTTTTAAAGAAAGCTCTTTTCAACTGAGTTGGTTGAAAAGTTTGTACGTTTTCAGTGTTGAAATGTCTGAATTGTTTTTGCTTGTAGTAGAGTAGGAAAAACAAGTTATTGAGTTTTGATTTTACTTTACTTTTTTTTTTTTTTGAACATTTATTTATTTGTGCATACAGAACTGGAGTACAGGCCAGAGGCTCAGGGGCGGTGAGAGGCTTCACCAGAGACAGAGTGGACAGCAGAACAGGCAGATCGTGGAGGTACACTGCTGAGGGGAGCAGCGGGCGGGTCAGGAGGTCTGCATGTGGTCACCTCCGGGGCAGGCGGGAATTGAACTCATGTGGAAGCGGCTTTAGATTCTCAGTGCTGTGCTTTAATGTGCTGCGCCACCAGGGAGGGCCCTGATTTTACTTTTCTAAAACTTGCTTATTGAGGTAATGCTGACTTACAACACTGTGTACCTGCACAAATGTAGTTACCACACTATGCCTACCACCAAAGCTCTAGTAATACTCTAGTATTACTCTAGTAATACTCAGCAAGATAAACTTGGTGGCCCCTTCGTTGGTGCAATGGATTGAAGCGCAGCACTACAAAATGATCCACAGACACTGCAGCATGAGTTCGACCCCTGGCCAGGGAGGTGACCCACATGGTGTGGCAGACCTCTCCTGACCTGCCACTGTTCCCCTCAGCAGTGTATTTCAGTACATCTGCCTGTTCTGCTCCCCACTCTGTTTCTGGTGAATCCTCTCACCCCCCACACCTCTGGCCTGTACCCCAATTCTTGTATACATGAATAAATAAATCTTTAAAAAAAAAAGATAAACTTGGGCTTAGCAAGCTATAACAAAACGGGGTAGTTTTAATTCCACCTTAGAATGTATTTATAGGTTATTGAGACTCTATCACTAATAGAAATTTTATTTTAGAATGCCATATTATCAGAAACAAAGACAAATTCCCCCTCCAGGACTTCTTAAGTCAAATACTTCTATATGAGGATGCTTATCTGAGTTATTAAGGTATCAAGGGCACAACCATTCCCTCCCCTGCCTCTCACCCCATGTCTTTGGAAATATCCTTTACAGTAAATTAGAGGTAATTTACCCAATCTACAGGTTAAAATATCAGCAGTACTTAATACTGTGAGGAACAAGTTTATATGCTTAAATCTTGCCAGGTTCAGCATAAACATTGACAATGATAAGTTGGGCTGATGAAAACCAATCAATACCATTTCCCACACTTCACTTCTGCAATGCTTCACAAGATTATAGGTGATTAACTACAGAAGAATATGTCAGCAGTAAAATTTAGTGTTATCTGTGGCCCATGTTTATTGGTTATTTAATTCTTATAAGTCAAATTATTTTGACTTAATGGGAATCTAAATTATATTACCACCACCCAAACCAAAACTAAAATGCTCATTAAGATGTAAAGCTCCAATATATGTGATAAATGAACTTTTAGATTTATCCTTTGTTATAAGTTAACTTTCCCCTACAACCATGTGTAAGTTAAAATATGAAAAGAATAATTCCTCCATTTTAGGTGACCAAAGCCTCTGACTTAAGAATGTTCAAATTTCAGCATAGCTTGTTTTAGAGGAAAAGTCCGCAGAATAATGTTACTGCAGGTCAGGGGTCTGTGAAATATCTAGGCAAAACAAATAGTGAAGTAGACATCACCACTACCACCACACCACCACCACCACACACACACACACACACACACACACACAATTAAAATCAGTCAACCTTCCTGTCCACCCATTTGGGCAGACACATTTTTCTGGAGTTCTGGAGTCAGGTCTTGCAGACCCTGGAGAAGATTGACTGCAATAAAGGAAGTTTTATGCTTGAAAAAGTGTCCTGAGAACAAAAAAATTGAGAAGTGCTGCATATTTCATTCCTCTTAGACATTCCCTATGCATGTTAGTTTATTAAGGTCATTGAGAACCTTCCCAGTAAAGACAAATAACCATTTCTACTTCCCTAGTATTGTCCAGCATTGCTTGACCATGGACTCCTCCCCACGCCCATCAAACTACCATTGCATGCAATCTGTTTCCTGGATCACCATTTGGGAAAGGCTGATCTTTCCCAAAGTGTAAAAGCTGATCTTTCCCAAAGTGTAAAAGCTGACAATGGAAGAGAGAAGATCATTTGCAGAGTGCAAAAGAGAAGGGAATGCTCGGTGAGGACCAGAGAACCCAAACCCCAAAGGGTGTGTGTCCTTCACTGACCACTGTAGTGTCTGTGATGTCCATCTACCTGTGGCTTTTACATTCTTATTCCCTCAGGATGGCAAAAGAACTGGGTTGGAAGGGAGGATTTATGGGCTCTATTCTCCCTTTCATAAGTGAGTGCCTTTGGGCAATTAACTCCCTGATCTAAATCTCGCTTTTCTCGATTATAAAGTCAAACTTCAAGAAATGATCTTGATTGTTCTTCCTAGGGCCAATTAGATGATTCTATCTCAACCATTACAATGGATGGAAAAGACAAAATAGGATTTGCTTGACAACTCTCTTTATGACTAACTTTTTTGGAATGCAAAATGAATGATGTATGAAATAGAAATTCTATAATGCAGCCATGACTGAATAGGTGATTCTTAGTTTTCATTATTCAGGCTACTTTGATTGAAGATTGAGTGTTATAAGATGCAAGTTTGAAAAGATTCAGTTTTGTACTGTCATTAAACATGTTTTACAGAGGAACACTCCAGAAAATTTCAGCAGTTAGATCTTTAATTAAAGTCAAAGAGCAACTTTAAAATTACTTCTTTTAATTAATTGTCCTTCAGATTGTACACTCTGTGATTAAACTATTCTTGGTTAGTACTTCCAAAAACTATCAAGATGCGGTTGAAATGAAGGATTTAATTGAAGTCAATCTAAAAGTAATGAGAAATACAGTAAGACAAGTTATTTTGCAAAAGTGTCTATGTATATTGCATATGTTGGAATTTTCCTTTAATAGAAGATAAAATTAAAGACAACTGACAGTTGTCTTTCCATGATTCCAATTAACCTGCTCTGTAATTAAATAATAAATAACAGATTAAAGACAGAGTCACTGGCAGAGTTGCATTATGAAATATGTGAAACGAGAAACTGACTCAGTTCCCAAATTGGTACCAAATTCCCTTGAGGTATTTTCATATTGATTCAAACTATTTTTTCAGGATTTATTTGGAACAGTTTCAGTACAATGTTCAGTATACATTTGATTAGAAAAATAGAAATCAAGGTAATGAAAATGGAAGCTTAGCTGAGAAAGAGAAGATTAAGAGGAAGAGAAAAGATGGGCAAAAATAAAATAATAGGTAACAATGCTTCTAGACTAGCAGAGTAAACATCTGTCATTTCCGCAGGCTTTGCATTCCCTGGTAATGGGATTTGATTACACCCTCTACACCCTCCTTCATTAGGGGTCATGGTGCTCTCATTCCATGTAATTCTTGGCACAACTGACAGGTCAAAGCTGTCAGTCTCGTTCCCAGAACAGAGAGAGACTTGAGGCAGAAAAACAGAGTCACTGGGAGAAACTATTAGCTCTGCTGTAGGATCCTTGGACCTGCCCTGCTTTCTGTGCCTCCAGTAGTCTTGACTGTTGACCTAATCTTCAAATTCTGGGATTAAAGGTTTTTGCCGGTTGGAATTCCAGAATTCCAAATAAGTTTTCTATATCCTACCTTGAACTCAGCTGGAGGCCTTGTACCATTGTGTTTTGGGTATGAGACACTCAAATAAGTATCTTTCAGTACTTTTAGCTTATGATATCTGATGTTTGTATACATCTTAATTAGTAGAGGCTTTTAATTTACTCTCCTATTGATGTGGATGGTCCTAAGACTGATTAAAGAAGGAAGGCTTTCAGCCCTCCCTGGTGGCGCAGTGGGTTAAAGCACAGCACTGAGAATCTAAAGCCACTTCCACATGAGTTAGATTCCCACCTGACCGGGAGGTGACCACATGGTGTGGCAGACCTCTCCTGACCCGCCCACTGCTCCCCTCAGCAGTGTACTTCGTCGATCTGCCTGTTCTGTTCCTCACTCTGTCTCTGGTGAAGCCTCTCACCGCCCCTGAGCCTCTGGCCTGTACCCCAGTTCTGTATGCACAAATAAATAAATCTTTAAAAAAAAAAAAAGAAGGAAGGCTTTCAAAACCTATGCCAAACTTCAAGGTCATCTACAAAATAGCCCATGCTTTCTGAAGTCTCAATAGTTTATTTGCATTTTCTAAGTATGAAGATCTCAGTGAGAAATTCATAACAAAGATATACTTTGTGAACAGTGGGATTAAAGGCTTTTCAAATATAAACATGGTTCTAAATAATGTATGATCCTTTGAACAGCAGCCCAAATCTGCCCCTGAAAGAAGAGCTCTCATTTTCTCTATCAAGCAACATTAAAAGAAATTATAGTCCACTATTAAATCCAACTGTACACCAATAAGTTTTCATTTCCAGTGGTACTCTTCTTTATTAAAAATCTTTATTAAATAACAAAATATGCCAGTTAACATAATAAGTACGTACTTGAGCTCAATATTAATATACGTGGCACACAATTCAAGATCTCCTCAAATTCAAGAAGCGTTTGGTTTCTTTGTAGTGATGCAGTAAGCAGAGTTCAGTGATACAGCCTTAAGGACTTAAGAAAACATCCAGCTCACAGAAGTGAGTGGTATGTGGGGTGTTCAAATGAGTGACTTCTTGTTAAATCCACATGAGCTGGATGTGGATCATCTTATTAGAATTCAGAGATAACTGGTGAAAACAAAACAAAACAAAACAACAAAACCACAAAGCAAAGCATGGCGCTATGAAGCTACAGTGATTAACAATGTTCTGATCTATGGCAAACTCTAGGGAAACTATGATGGAACCAGTAATTTTGACCAGTGGTCAAAAGTCTGATCAGTTCATAGAGCTTACTTTGTAAGAGTCTAAGGAAAAGTAAGTATCATCTAGGAATATTCTGATAAAGAAAGTGTGGTCAATTAAAAAAAAAGCAGTTTAAAAGATATTCTGACCATCATACTTTATTTTTAATACAAATAGGTAGCAAAATAAAAGGTACCCAGGTATCTTTGAAACAAGAATACATTTTTCTGTGTATCAAGCCATCATTTACAGATTAACACTGCACAAAATTTGAATTAATAACTCTTAATTTGTTCACACAAAATTATATGAAATAAAGAAAATTACATGTACAATCTGAGAACCAACAAATAGAACCAATCCAAAGTCCTAAAATCATGTCTGTAGTAATTCTTTCACATTTCCAAAAATCACACACATCTACAAAATGAATGTAGGTATTCCTAACATTGAGCATTATTTACAAAAATGAGTTCATCTGTCGCATCACTTTTGATTCACAGGCCTGCGACACACACCCTGGGGTGCCAACTCCCAGAGTCACAGCTGCCCTCCAGCTCTGCCTGGGGGAGGGGCATTCCTTGCTGTGGAAGGAGGGATCACACCAACTCATAGTATTTCCCAGTCTGGGGGTCAAAGTAACAGTTCAGACATGGGTCATACAGCAGAGTCAGCACTTCCTCGTCCTCTTCCGCACTCCCGTCCTCTTCACCTGTGGAAGGGGAACCACAGACATGTTAGCTGCTGCCCTGCAGTCCCAAATTGCAATACTGGAAAGGCAACGCGGCAGGAATGACCATCTCTCCTGAGAGATATTTTTTAAAAAAATTATAGTTTATTTTTACATCATTTTGTACATTTTTTTTTTCCTTCTCAATTGTTCCTGAGAGATTGTCTTAACGTGGGCAGGATGGAGAGGAGGAGTGCCGTACACCTGCGGGGAGCGACAGTGTGAAGCGCGAGGTAGGGGAGAAACAGCGACTGCACGGGCAGCTTTGCTACAAAGGCTAAGAAAAATTGGTGAGCAGCACTGGCAGGGAGGAGCAAGAAGGGGGAGGGCCAAACGGCTTAGGAGTTATGCTCATTCAGATTAGGGCAATGTAAGCAGGATTCAAAATTCAATGATCTTAGTTTTAGACTTCTCCAGGGCCAGAGCTGTACAAATGCAAAACGAGGCAAATTAATTGATAGCACAGAACTCAGTCCTCACCCACCCATCCATCCAAAAAAGTACCAAATAACCATGAATTAAAATAATAACGTGGTTTAGAAATGTAAGATACAAAAAGAATAGAACACATGTGGAAAACACAATGTCAGGTGATCTTTATTTTATTAGTGGTAGTTAATGTCTATCATATTTGCTGGGAACATGAACTTGGCTTGACGGTTTTACCTGGTTAGACTCATTGCGCTGATCTAGATGAAGACAATTCTTAACTGTGCAAAACACTGGGAAGGTTTGGTTAATGTCTAACAAATAGCATGCAAGGAAAAAAATACTTTTCTAAGATCTTTCCTAAACACCTATATATGCCCAGTGTTGTGGTAAGAACTTTGGTATTTGATGTGATCACCAGCAAGTGGGAACTTTCTGGATACTTTTGAATATCCATATAATAGGAAATGGAGGGGGGTGGGGTCAAGACTTCCCAAGTTCAAGGTCTGAGCAGGCCCAGGGAGAAGGGGATGGTTAAAGTAATATGCCCTTCTCTTCCCCTAGCCCAGGCTACTGAGAACCTAATAAAAGCAAACCTGGGCTTGGAGGGTGGGCACAGAGCAAGGCTGGCATGTGATAGAGGCTCAATAAACATTTTCTGAAAGGGTGACTGAGTGTGAAAAAATACTTGTGATCTGAAGTGTCACTGCTCCAAGTAAGGGACAGTGGTTGTGGTGGGACTTTCGCCAAAGTCAGACGATGCTGGTGGGTGGGCAGCGTCAGGATGGCGACACGCTGGAGAAGGCCAAGGGGTGAGGAGAGGTCTGGACCCACAGCATAGCCATTCTTCTGTCTACAAGAAATACTCACAAGCCTTGAAAGCGAGCGCTCCCTGCCCAGACGCTGAGCTAGTGCCATGTGCCTGATGCTATCCGAAATGGAGCACGTTCCCAGGCCTTTGCAGTGACTCCCACAGACCAGGCAGCTGATGCTCTTGTGAGTTGCAGGCAGTGCTGGCTGTCTTGAAAAGTGGAGCCTGACAGCAATGATGTGCCTGCCTTGCTTAGCAAAACCTCAGTGGTTTAGAAAGCATATTCTCAAGCAGTGTTTGGTTTGGCTCTCACAGTCCAGTGATAGGTGGGAATTATCGTGCCCATTGTATGGATAAGGAAACTAGGGACTGCAAAGTTAAACAGCTCCCCTGAGGTCCCTTGGTGAGTGAGACGCAGTGTTCTGTGTTCTTCCTGCCACAACGTGCTTGATGATTTTATTAAAAAGGGGGTGAACATGTTCATTTGGGAGCTAGTATATTATGGGAATTGATTATGGGAATTTAAAGGTGGAAAAGAATGAAAAATTGTAAAGCCATCCTACATCAAAAACAATTAGGTTTGGAAACAAGCATGTTCCAAAAACCCCTGCCGAAGATGAGAGTCCACGTGGGTGAGCAGAGGCAAAGAGCCCAATTAAGCCCAAAGAAACCAGGCTTAATCACCCCAGAGAAATGAAAGCTTGATGGCAGTCACAGCAGACCTGTGGCTTTAAGGAGACAGAGGGTGGCAAAGGAGAGAGACGATTTTGTGGGGTTCCAGGAGGAGACAGTAAGACCAATGGGTGGAAGTTATAAGGAGCCAGATTTGGGTTTAGCACAAGGAAGGATTTTCTAAACATTACTGCTGATCAGCAAGTGGGATGTAGACTGTGGGATGTGTGAAGCGGGGTTTGGGGCAGCCATTCGTGTAAGCTTTTGTAGATACACCCTGCACGAGACAGGGGACCGAAGCCAATGATGCCTGCAGTGCCTCTGATGAGCTTCTGTGACTCTTGCCACAGTGGCTTATGTCCTTGAAGTATGACAGGTCTTTGCTAACACCCTCGTTAGCAGTGCTAGCTGACCTAAGTGCCCTGCAGTTTAAGAACAGGAGCCAAGAGAAGGCTGGCTGCCTTTCTTCATTTACTAGTGTGGCCTTAAGCGTGGTTCCCCAGGCCCTGCCTCCCCCTCTTCCTCGAGGTAGGAGAGTCTGAGAATGCTTTTCAAGTGGCTGCTTCATATTAAAGATGAGCCCCTTTAGGTCATGTCTCCACATCAAGGACATCAAAGAAGAGTGTGCACTTCCTTTTCAGATATTCAATCCATCATCCCTCCCCCCCAACCTTTTTTTTCATTTTAAATCTGGGCTACTGCAGAGAACAGAACAAAATCAGTTTATCAATAAGTAACTACTTGTTGTCTGCTATGTAATTGATGTGACAGTCTAATTGGATGTCACACACACACACACACACACACACACACACACACACACACACACACACACACACACCAAACAAAAATAGCTACTGAAGATGATGAGGAGTTTAACTGGGAGCTGCAACTGCAGAGTGGCTGAAAGGTCCCCTGGCCTCCAGAACCTGACAAACCTGGGAACTTAGACTTCGAAAAGAGTGAAAACTTAGGAGATGGATGGAAACTTGGTTTATTACTTGAATGAGGTTAGACTAATTACAGGCTATTTCACCTTACTGGACCTTTGCTTTGTCATTCATAAGATAAGAATAACAATGACTATTTCATAGTATTTTCTGGAAGAATATATTGAACACTATATTGTAATAGGCATAGCACAGTGCACATAATTGTTCAATAAATGATGGTTACTATTATTATTAAAGATATGAAAGATATAAAGATATAAAAATAAGTCATGAACCATAGGCTGTAATTTCTTTTCTTTTTTAAACAATTCCGAACAAGAGCATTGATAAAGCATAAAATACAAAGGGAAGGCTGCAGAGAGGCAATCAGTGTGACATTTAGCGATGCAATCAGGCAGACACAGATGTGGGACCCTGGGAAAATTCACCATTTTGAACCATCATCTGACTCATATGTAAAGTAAGGGTAGTATGAGAACTACATAAAATGACACCCAGCATGCACACAGTTATAGTCATCATCGTGGCAAGGGCAAGACAGCTAAGTCAGACCACTGGGGGCTCATTTCTATCTTAATCCCTACTCGGGAGCTGTATGTTTGATTTTTCACTACCAAAATATTTAGAGTGACTTTATATGAAATACAAAGCTCCCAACTAGTTTCACACAGGCCCTTTGATGAATTCATCTTAAAAAAATAAACAAAACCAGATCATGTTTTTCAGAAAGAAAACTAATTTCCCCATCAGGCATAATGGCAAAGCCACATCTCACTGGGGTAAATGATAATGAGTATAACGATCTCAGGGATCTGCCATCTGATGTCTTGTTCGTGCTTCATCCATGCGATGGGAGAAATTCTGATTCAGGCAGGTAAGAGTTATATGGTATATAATTGCTCCATGCAGTACGTGCCTACACTTTCCAAAAAGATAAAAATGTAAACGGGTGCTATTAAGTTAGAACACTCAAAATAGCTTACAACTAGTCAGGAATTTTTCAAGATGGAAATAAGTATTGTAATGGGCTGTGGGTCTTTATCACCTAACTGCCAAAGGGATCACCGTGGATCCAATTCATTCGTAGAGGTTTTGCTACACAATGCACACAAACTGAAACTGTAACTGCTATACAAATGCATTTGTTCCAATACATATCATTATAAACTGGAACCTCATGCATTACAAACATGGGACTAAGGCAGGTTTTGTGGGTTTTAGTACGGGAGATTTAAATGATGAATTTAAAAATTATACCAACAATGACATTAGTACAAAAATTGGGTGACATTATGTATAATTTTACATTGAAATAACTGCTTTAAACTTGCATAAAAGGTTTTGTTTTCATTATAACTTAATTTTCAAAGCTTCCAACTTACATCATCTTGCCATTGTAATCCCTACGTAATGAAATTATATTATCATTAAGCAATTGCCACCATGATGTCAAGCAATGGGAAATGTTTTGAAAGGTAATTATTGTGCATGGGTATGGGGTAATTTTCAGTTATATTCTTGGATAGTGTAGGGTTTGTTTCCCCCCCTAAATGCTAAATTTCTCTATTTATAGACTGGCTACAGAAACTCTAAAAGGATGTATTAATAAACAAAACCATTCTCTGTTACTAGACTAAGAGCATCTGGACAGGGAATTACATTTTTACTCTTCTCCACACAAAAAGCCACTTCTAGTGAAATAAAACTGTCTTTCAGACAATGATTTATTTACAAACTTTCAGCCTCATCCACTTTGAAAGTTGTTAATAGTAATAACAGAAGGAGCTGGAGCAAACACAGCAATACTGGGGGCTCTCCCCTAGGTAGATCAGCTGGTGCAAATAATCCCTCCAGTTTTCTGACCTTTTGAAAGTCAATTAATATAAATGTTAATTATCTACTTTAATGCATTTTCATTGGTAGATAAAAGGAAACCTATATGCACAAGTAAAGCCTTCAAACTTGAAAATAAATGATGAAGCACTAGTTTATCAGATTTAAAATCTCTGAATCAAGACATTGTACTTGTTTTTCGATTTTCTGATGCTGCCATCGAGAACTTTTTAAAGTTAATGCATTTTCTCTTTTATAGATCTTGAGAACTGATTGACTGTATT